TATTACTATTAATCAACACACTGTAAAAAAGGTATTACTATTAATCAACACACTGTAAAAAAGGTATTACTATTATTCAGTTTCTTTGAAAGATCAAGATAAAGGATATGAAATTTAAACTTCAACATACTGTCTCAAGGCAAGATTTAATGATCTATGACCTTTTCCTATTGGAGTAGCCAGTGGTCCTTTCAATCCCACTTTATTTGTGTGAACAGAGTTAATTGCCTTCTGAGGAATGCCAAACTTCCCATCGGGACCTTTCACTGGGGTCACATCCACCTTTTCCCACTTGATAGGGACCTGGTATCCAAAAACCAACACCATCAAAATTTGTAAGAAGTGCCATTATATTAACAAATACAGTTGTCTTTGGATATGTGTTGCACCTGACTCCCACGGGACCATCTATGTTATTCCTTCTTTACTACATGTATCACATTTAGTCTCCTCTGAAGTTTCTTTAGTGTTACAGCTTCATTAGGCTGATACTATCCCTATACAATATCCTTTATAAACCTGGAACTATCCCCATGCAATATCCCCTATAAAACTGGAACCATCTCCATACCATATCCCCTATAAACCTTGAATTATCCCCATACAATATCTGCTATAAACCTTGAATTATCCCTATACCATATCCCCTATAAACCTGGAACTATCCCTATACTATATCCGCTATAAACCTGGAACTATCCCTATACCATATCCCCTATAAACCTGGAACTATCCCTATACAATATCCCCTATAAACCTGGAACTATCCCTATACCATATCCCCTATAAACCTGGAACTATCCCTATATTATATCCCCTATAAACCTTGAATTATCCCTATACAATATCCCCTATAAACCTTTAATTATCCCTATACAATATCCCCTATAAACCTTGAATTATCCCTATACCATATCCCCTATAAACCTTGAAATATCCCTATATAATATCCCTCTATAAACCTGGAACTATCCCTATACAATATCCCCTATAAACCTTGAACAACATTAATTTATCCCATTATATATATATATATATATATATATATATATATATATA